ATCCCGTAGGGAAGAATGCCCTCTCTTGTCTCGATTTCATTCATGGTTACTGAGTAGCCACCATGTGTTTTGGTTTTACTGTGGTTCCTTAGGTCAAATAAGCTTGAGAACAGTGGACCTGGTGAATGTATGAGTTTATACATTTAAATCATTAGGGGACAACACGTTATGATAACCACAACCCCGTGGACACCCACAGGCTTGGTGGGTAGAGACCTAAAAGCACTGGGATTCCTGCCCCCAAGGAGCTTACAGTTTCGTGGAGACGTGTCGTGTCGACGTGAGGTTGAAAGGTGCTAGCCGGCTGTGGCAACCCCATGCGCTGGGCACGGGATGTCACGCAGGAAGGTGGCTCCTTCCTGGCCACCATTTGCGTGCTTTCAGCAGGCCCCTTCTGTGAATCTCAGTCTCCTCATTTCTCGAGCAGGGATTGAGACACCAGCAACGCACACCTCGTTGGCTGCTGTGGGGATCCCGCCGTGAGAGCGTGGCCTGTCCCCAAAGCAAGCCCTTCTTCTCGTGTCATGGAGAGCGCAGGTGTGTGACTCTGCGTCCCATTGTGAGAGACACGTGTCCCATGGGCGGAGCCGCTGGGCAAGCCCCAGGGGCTCTCAGACACCAACGTGTCCCCGGCGTAGCCGTCCGGCCACCGCCCTCTCTCCGGGGGCCAGGTTGCCTCCAGCCCGAGCTGCAGCTGACCCGGCGTCCTGCAACGGGGGCTCATGTCTGAGTGGCACTTGCTGAGCTGGCCCTGCCAGGGCAGCTGGCTCCGAAGTCAACTGCCTTCCCCGCGGAGGGGCCAGGCCTGAATTCGTCTTCATTCCCGCCGGGCTGCCGGGCGGGCGTTGGAAATAAGGCCGCGCTGACGGCCAGAAGCACGGACGTCCTACCTGGGTGACACTTCATCTATGCCGACGGGAACAGCCCTGAACATAGAACCCAAGCGACCGGGCAGGACCCAGGAGTCATCGCGTCCTTTCCCTGGGCCTGGTGGGACCTTCCTTAGCTCATCTCAGACAGGAAGGTGCCTATCCTTTTTTTATTTCCTCTAAGTCCCCCCGGAGAAAGGAAAGTATAGTCAGGACACTTTTCATTTTTTCTTTTGGCAATAATCAGGGCAGCATTCAAAGGTGTTGAAGTCAGATCTGGGTTCAAATCCACATGAAGCCACTCACAAGCTGCGTGACATCAGGCAAGTTACCGAACCTCTCTGAGCTCCAGTTCCTTCACCGTTAAAATGGGAGATGAGAGTAGAGACCAGCTGAAGGATTTGCTGTGGGTTTTGGTTGGAGTGAGGACCACGATGAAGTGGAAGAAGTACGGCGCTGGGGAGGCGCTGGGTGAGGAAGAAGAGCTACGCAACCACTCCCCGCACTGTGCACCTGCACGGTGAGAGTCCCTGTCACTCGGGATGGGAGTAGCTTTGTCCGGATCCGGGGCTCAATAAGATCCCCTCTGAGTGGCCACTCCATGCCGGTGTCCCTATCTCCCGGGCCTGCACCAGGAGGCAGAATAGCATAGTGAGAGGGTACAGGCCCGGGGGCGGGGTCTCAGTGCCTGGCTGGGTGACCTCAGGATGTCAGCTGTTTTCTCCGAGTCTCAGCAGAGGGGGAAAACAGCCAGTTTTGTGGGTCCCAAACTATCTTTCAGGCAACAGAGGTGCCCCCGCGCAGCTCTGCTCACCCCCGTGCACCCAGTCCCTGGCCACTCTCCTGATAGCTGATTTTTATGTTCTAAAGATCAATTAAAAATAGATTTGTGGTCCAAGTAAGAAAAGTACAGCAGCCGCTGCCATTGCCAGTGGGCTTTTGGTTCACGCAGAGGTGGTGAGGACTGTGCTACCCCCAGCAGCATCTTCCTGCGAGGCACCGGAGGTTGAGCTTCCTTCTTGCATGGCTCCCTGCTGCTCACTAGGAGTCAGGCTCTCGCTGGGCATTCAAGGCTTCCCCACGCCACCCTGCCCCTCCAGCTCACTCCTGCCTTTCTCCTACTTTGGCGTTCTGGGTACTAAACTCCAGGCCGATCCTATGACTACTTTCCACGCGGCCCGACATTTCTTTTTTCTCACTGCGGTTCCCCAACCTTGAATGCTGTTCATCTGTTTCTCCATGTAGTCCCATTCTAGCTTCTTGTTCCGGCCAACGCCGAAATGTCCTCTCACATCAGAAGGTTTCTATTTTGAACCCTCCAGACAGGGGCAAGCAATTATTCTTATAATCCAATGTTTAGCAAATGCTTACTGTGTGCCAGGCATTGGGGATAAAGAGGGAAGAACAAGAGACATGGTCCCTAGCTTCATGGAGCTGACAGTCCCATTGGAAAGAGAATAATAGTGACCAAACACAATAAGCAATGGAGCAAATATTTAGGAATTTAAATTGGTGCCCCTGATAAAACAGACTTTGGGATAATTTTTAATAAAGGATGGAGCAAATATTTAGGAATTTAAATTAGTGCCCCTGATGAAACAGGCTTTGGGATAATTTTTAATAAAGGATGGAGCAAATATTTAGGAATTTAAATTAGTGCCCCTGATGAAACAGGCTTTGGGATAGTTTTTATTAAAGGATCTGACTAAATTGGTGTATTCGAAAGGGCTTCCCTAAAGAAGTGATGTTGTAGCATCAGGACCAGTTAGCCAGGTATGGGAGAGTAGGGAGATAGCATGTGCAAAGGCCCTGTGGCGGGACCAGTGGTACATGGTGAGTGCACATCCCAGTCTTCCCCAGACAGCCCCAGTCGTCCTGGCTAATTTATTAAAGGCGCCCTCTTTCTCTCTCCAGAGTGGCCTGGTTTGGAAGGTAAATTATGTGGTTGACTAATTGAGTAAAAAGAAGCCCCGGGGTGTCTAGACTACAGAGAGAGGGGGCTAACGCTGGAGAGATTGATAGGAACTGGACCGTGTGAGCCTTCAAGGCTGGGGAGGGGGTTCACCCTTTACCCTAAGAACAATGAGACACCTCTGAAGGGTTTCGGGCAGGGTGTGCAAGGATCTGCTTTCTAAACAACCTCCCCCCTCTCTGTTCTCCCAAAGTGCTTTGGGCCCCTTCCCTCTTGAGGACCCGCCTGCCCACGGTGGGTTGTGGTTTCCCTCTCTTTTTCCCCTGGGCTGTGAGCCTCGGGAGGGACGATGGGAACCTCTTGTGGATGACATCGCACGGTTCTCTGGTTCTGCTTGCCGGGCATTGGTGCTCGGAGCAATCTTGGAAGGCACGGCAGAGCCTCCGTCAGTTTGGGGAAAGCACAGTTTTACTCTCCATTCCCCGAGCCACGCTGGAACCTCATTGGATCGTTTATGTGAACAACAAACATCCATTGTGTCTGAGCCATTCTAAATGTCTTGAAAACATCCAAAGGGGGAATACTGGCGACTGTGCCTTGCTCTCATGGCCTCTGTTAGGCTCTGCATACATTATACACACTAATTCAATCATTACACTCTCCACTTTATAGATAAGGAAAGGAAGGTTCAGAGAGGTGAAGTGACTTGCCCAAAGCCACACAGCTAATGAGCAGAGGAGCTGGGATTCCTGGGACCCAGGAATATCTGACTGCAAAGCCAAAGGTCTTTAGACACCAACCGTGAAATTACCGGTGCTCAACTTCTCTCTTCATCCTCTGGAGCCGTGAGCATCTCCCCGCCCTGTGGACAGGGGTTCAGCTTGCCCTGCTGGGCAGAGCTCCTCCAAAGCAGGTGCTGGGCAGGGGAGGTGGGGGGAGGGGTAGGGGGCATCCCACACCTGCGGTCTCAGCCTGCGGTCCCATCCCTACGTGAAGTGCCCGTCCCAGGCAGGGGGCGGTGGTATTTCTTTCACCCGTCTGCAGTTTGGCAGGTTCCTCAAAGAGAAATGCTCTTGGATTCATTTAAAAGTCTGAGCAGGGACGGCACAAATTATTAGCATCTGAAATATTTATAAAGCCTCTTGTTTGCCATGGCACAGGGGGTGATAGACCACAAATAAAAGCGAACCGTGGCTGCGCCATGCACAGAGAGAGGAAGGGGGGGGAGGGCCGTCTGCCTACTGCGGCTTCCTTTTCTAAGCAGGTGAATTTTCTTCCTGCGTTTGCTGCACCTGACTCCCAATCTGTACGTCTCTCCACCTGGCCGCCCTTACGACGAAGCCCCTAGACACCTGAACCCGGGATTTTAAAAAAAAAATCACAAACCCTTAACATCAGGGCGAGTGGGGTGAAGGGTCTGTGGGGACACTCTGTCTTCAAAGCTTTTCTGGAAGTCTAAAATTATTTCAAAATCAAAAAAATTAAAAAAATTATCATACAGTGGATACACCATGTTGAAGTTAAGAAAAATTTGCTTTGCTTATTTGGCAGGGGGAAAAACTGAGACCCAGAGAGTGAGGACCAAAGTCACCTGGGGAGTCAAGGACATGACCCAAGGTCAGCTGACTCCCAGCCCGGATTTCACTTTCTTGCTGCTTTTTTATGACTTCTGTGCACATGCTAACGGTTCAGAGAAGAGGTGTTGGGGTCGTGATTAGGGAATCACATGGCTCGGATTTGCTTGTTTAGTTGTGTCTGTCTGTCCACATGTGCATGGTGTATGTACCTATATATTCATTTATTCACTCATTCACTCATTCATTCACTAGCTCGATAAACACTAAGTGCAGGAGATACAGCAGTGAGCCAGGGAGACGTGGCCCTGCCTCTACCAAGCCAGTAGAAGATGCATTTTCAGCTGAAGTCTACCCTTCAGCTGATCCTGCAAGGCGCTCCGCAGTGTGGCAGCACCATAGAGTCGCCCCGCCTTGGAGCAAAGAGGCGGGTCTCTTATACCCCATAGAGTCGCCCCGCCTTGGAGCAAAGAGGCGGGTCTCTTATACCCTTGGCCAGGTGACAGCGCGGGGGGAGAGTGCACCCTCCCAGTATTTCCAGGCAAAGTGGCTCTTTTTAGCTGAGGGCAATTCTTAGGCAGAGGCAGCAGCTGTGTCAGCAGCCAATGTCACAATGGGGGCAGGGCGGCAGGTGCTCGGGGCCACCAACAGCCCCTCGTACATCCCACTGGGGAGGGGTCTAGAATTCACACCTCTGTGGGAATCTCAACTGAAGCGATGGGGGAACCGAATTATTTGCCCCCGGTCCTTGCCGAAGTTGACTCCAGGGGATGTTAATTCCCAGGCGGAACGCGGCAGCCCGACCCGTGTGCAGACAGGGAAGGCTCCGGCGGGCGGAGCCACGGGCCGGTGGGCGGAAGATGGGCAGGTGCCCAGAAACGGGGCGTGGCGAGGAAATGCGGGTGCGTGGGACGCTAAGACCGTCTACCGCAGGTAGCTGGGGCCACTGAGACTTGTCCCTTAGAAATGTGGAATCAGGAAGCCGGTGGAAGCTTGGAGTTGCAGGTGGGCTGGGGCACCGGGGCAAGAAAAGCAGAGAGTTGTGGCTGGAGTAGTTGTGGCAGCCTTTTGCAGGCTGAAGATGTGCAGAGCGGGGGTGAGGCGTGGAGGAGGGGGGCGTGGAGGAGGGGGGCGTGGAGGAGGGGGGCGTGGAGGAGGGAGGCGTGGGGGCCCTGGAGGAGGGGGGCGTGGAGGAGGGAGGCGTGGAGGAGGGAGGCGTGGAGGAGGGTTGGCGTCCCTAGAGTCAACGACCGGGACGGTGAGAGGAGCAGGGAGCTGAGTGCACAGAGAAGCCAGGAAGCCACCCGGGTAAGGGCGTGGCTGGCCTCGGGGTACCCTCGACTTCCGCTCATTCTTTCATTCACTCATTCATTCCACAGATACTTGCGGAGGGCTACAACATACCAAGGACGGCGCGAGGTGCAGGTCTCGCTCCCTCGGAGCCCACGCTCTGCAGGGTGCGGGCCGGTGGGCGGGAGCATTAGATAAGTCAACGAGGTACCACAGGTGCAGGTACGTTCAGTAGAGGAAGCCGGCGGGGCGCCGAGGGGAGAGTGATGAGGCGGGAGGGCTACTTCTGACAGGCGATCACAGAAAGACTCTGATCACCCCACTGTACAGATGAGGGGACTGAGGCCCTGGGAGGTGAGGGGACTTGCCCATGACGTCCAGCTAGCAGGCGGCCCCTTTGGTGGATGCCAAGCCCGTCCCCTGTAATAGCTTCTACTCCTTGGCGCTGGGCCCGTTCCTGGAGCTGACACGGACTGGACCCACTCTCTCTTCTTTCCCCGTCTGTCACGTGGCGACGGAGGGACCAGGACTCTGACCCTCCGGAGTCCCTGCTCAGACCCCGCTGGGCCTGCCTTGGCCCGGGAACCAGCCGGGACCCACAGCTTTGGGGCCAGCATCCTCTTGGCAGCTGTCAGGGTCCAGCAGCGCACAGTGGCCCTGGGGATGGGGGACTTGTCCCGGCCCCCCACCTGTGCACCGTGGGACCTTGGGCAAACGACTCCGCCTCTCCGAGCCTCAGTTTTCTCCTCTGTCACATGCCGTTACCAGGCGTCCCTCCCTCCTGGCGTGATCGCGAAGATGAAGCGAGCTGAGGCTCGTGTAAGGCGTGGCACGGCGCCCGGCACAGAGCGAACACGCGTGACAAGCTGGCTGGGGGTCAGCCGTGTCCCCCTAATATTCTGATCGCCTGTTGGGGGCCGGTGGGCCAGGGGAAAGCAGGGACCCTCCGCCTCGGTCCTCAACACCTCAGTCCCCAAGTGACCCTGAACCGGGGCCTCGGGCGGAGAGGAGGTGACTTTCTGACTCCGGGTCGCGACTGCCAAAACCAATTAGGGACGGCAGACGGGGCGGCCTGTGGCACCCAAGCAAACTGATGTGGCAGCCAGAGGAGGGGCCCCTCGCTCTGACCTTAAACCCCGACACTCCTGCCCACATCTGCAGCTAAATAAACCAAGTAAATCATGCTGGCAGATAGATAATTAAATAATTATCAGGCACTTAATAACAAGGAGTGGGTGTTCTGAATTACCATATTAGACAGTGTCTTTGAGGACTAATTGTTGCATTACATCAGAGTAACTCATTCATTATTCTTGTCATTTCGGGTGATAATTTGCACTTTAGGAGACAGCGACAATTTTAGCAGGCAATTAGAGACGTGTCAGGCCTGGCCCCGTGAGTTACTGTCACAATTATTGCCTTTTTTCCAGGGTCCTCATTTGCAGCCGTGTATTTAAGGGGATTTGGGTAATTCCAGGCCTGGGCTAAACAGCCAGCCCACGGGAGCACGGCGGGGCGAGGACAGGCAGGCGCCACTGCGGGGACAAGGAAGGGACAGCTCGAGGGCAGAGGGTGGCGCTCGGGAAGCCAGTGGGAAGCCGAGCGGGGCTTTCTCCTGGGCCCTGGAGCCGCCCGCAGCCACTGGAACGGGGTCCACTTCCCAGACAGTCCTCCACGCCGCCCCTGTCATCCGCTCAACACGGCCTCTTATGACCGCTCACCTGAGCCTTTGCGAGGGGCTCTTCCCAGGTCTCGGAGGCCGTTGGGAAGAGGGAAAGGAGGAGAGAAGAGGGGATGGAAGGATGGTGTGTTCATCGTGGTTTTTATTTTCTGTCTTTTAGGATGCTTTGACATCTTGGGGTCTTGAGTCCCCAGGGAGGGACTGCCCCTCCCGGGGTTGGCTCATTCCTAGGGAAAGCAAATCGCTTGCCTTCTGAGCAAGCCTTTGGCATGCAAACCAAACAATCTGGGGTCCTTTCACCAGTCCGCTGCAGTCCAGGACAGGAGCCCCCAGCCCTGAACCACCCCAAGCTCCAAGTCCCAGCCCAGTAGGGACCACCTCTGCGGCCCTGAGTCCGCCGACATTATTCAAACCAGGCAATGCTAAGTCTGCCGACCCGGCCTCGCCTGTCCCTTCCAGCAAAAACCACAATAAGAGCGCCTGCCCGTTGTTGGTCCTTCTGCAGCCTGGCAGCCCCGTGCCCCCCCCGTGTGGCCCTGTGCGGCACGCGCCCCTCCCCCTCCTCTCGGGGACTGTGGGTAACAGACCACTGTTCCAACGGCCTTGCCACGCCCGAGTCAGACAAAATCCTGGGCACATTTTAAAATGGAAAAGAATACAGGAAACAAGAGAAAATAGAGGGAGGAAGAGAAAAGAGGAGGAAAAGAAGAGAAGAGAGGAAGGAGGAGAGAAAACTAAGAGGGAATGGGAGAAAGAAAAAGAGTTTGAAAGAAAGAGAGAAGATGGAAGAAAGTAAAGAATGAGCAGAAAGAGATGAGAAAAATAAAAGTTGACATGGAAAGGAAGAGAGGGAGGGAGGGAGAGAGAGAAAGATAGAGAAATGGGAGATGAGGGGAGGAAAAGAAGATTGCACATGAAAATTACGTTCGAAACCAACGTCTATTTTTTCCCCACTGCGTGGAGTGTTTGCTTCTTAGTGAAGTGGCTGTCTGGGCTCACTTGGCCGCAGCTAATGCTTTTGACCCTGGGCAACCTGAGAAGTCAGACGCCGTGAATCAGCTACTCAGAATAGGCCTTCAGAAAATATTTCCGACTGGCTGTGTCGTTGACAATCAAGACACACAAAGTACAATTACACACAAATGCAAAACTCCACAAAAAGAGAAGGGCGGAGTCCACCCTCAAAGCAGCTCCTTCTCAGCTCTGTCCTTAGCAATTAGCCCAGAAGGGACTGCGGGGACTGTCCCCTCTCTGCCTCGCCTCGGCCTTGGGAGACGTTATCGGCTCAGGACGCAGCTGCAGGGGCGTGGGGGTGGCGTCTCGGTGCTGCCACTTGGTAGCACTGTGCGGCCCTGGGCAAGTCACAGCTCTGGAATCTTCACTTCCTCATCTCAGAGTGGGGACAGGAGCAGTCGCTGCAGAACTTTAGCAAAACTAAGTCTATAAAGAATTGGGTGTTGAACCTGTACTTAGGAATGGGTGGGTGGGTGGGGCTCCTGTTTTTATTTTTATCTTTATTTTTAATTTAAGTTGTTACCTGGTCGTCTGTCCCTAGTGGCCTTGATCTGGACGTACTGTCCCCTGGCCCTGCGTTGGAAGATGATGCTGGTGTTCGGTCTGGTTCCCACTGGGGTTAGGACTGGCCCTTTCTAAGGTGGCCTCTCTGCGGGTTAGGATCCCGCCTTGACCTCACTCCTCGGGACACGCCACCCCTGCCCCTGTATCACAGTCCCCTCACCACCCCACCGACGTGTCCTGCCCATGCACTGGGTGCCTAGCCCCGTGCTCACCGCCGAACGGTCATCCTTTCGTTGAGCCTCACACTAGCCTCTGAATTAGGTGTGATTGTTCCCATTTTACAGATGAGGAAACTGAGGCACACTGAGGTCAAGGAGGCTCATCGGTGTGATACAGCCGGTAAACGGCAGAGGCAAGATTGGAACCCGGCCCCTGATCTTTCTGCAGTTCTCACCACCACCTAAGATGCAGTAGCATTACCTGCTGGGGTCACCCCTCAGCCCCCCCGCGAGTGAGTCAGGAAACGGTGCCGTGAGCTCATCCCTGCAGCAGGAGTTGGCTTCACACAGCAAGTATGTTTTCTCCAACTATTTTAAAAAATTATATTTGGAAAAAAACCCCGCAAACTATCGAAAAGTAAAGCATAGAAAACATAGGTATCTATATATCTGTGTGTGTGTATGTGCCTGCATAGACCCTATGCACATCCGTAGGGATGTATAAGCTAAATGGTGTTAATTAAGTTAAAACCACAGTAAATCTGAGAGACTCAGATTAACACGGTGGTCAAAACTGTAGGAAATATAATATTTTGAAAAAGAATAAATTCAGCCAATTACAGATTTATGTTGACGGCAACGCAGTTGCCACCGTTTTACAATAATCATTGATCAATCAACGTTTTATGACAAAACTATAATTTTCACGTGTTTCCAACCCCCCCTGAAAAGTTTCCTCGTTTGCTTAATTCCCAGAATGTGATTCCATAAATCTCTCCCTCTGCGATATTAAGTAGATAATAAGAATGCCATATAAGATTTGCTTATGGTTTAAACCAGTGTTGCAAATGATTTATAATTAGGGCCAAATCTAAGACAAAACATTATTAAAGTCAAAACCTGCTGTAAATTGGCCCGGTCTTCTTGGGCATCTAGCGATTTATCGGGCTTGATGACAGCATTTCCTCTGGTGATTTCCAAGCGGGGTCAGCTGACACCAAGGAGAGATATTTATGATTAAGAGGAGGCTATGAAAATAGTGGGGTGTCCCTGTAAAATGTGGGTTCCTCCAGGCAGGCCAGACACTGCCGAGGGGCTCAGAGGAGTCCTTCCTGCTCTCCCCTAGGTCCATCTGCTTAGAATTTTCAGCTGAAGGACTTATCCGGAATATGAGTCAACCACTAGAGTGCCATTCATGCTACATGGGTTTATTGAGCACCTACTATGTCAGGGCACTGGGGACACAGTGGTTAGCAAATGAGGCAAATCAAATGTCCCTGCCTGCATAGAGAGTGGTGAAGAAGAGACAGATCTCTTCTCCCCGAAACACACAGGAGGGGGGGCAGACGTAGGTGGAGGGGCTGTGGGGTGCAGGGGGAGGGTGAGAGACTCTTGGAGGAAGGGAGAGAGATGCTGCACTGGTGGGGAGTGAGAAGGGAGGCTGGTGGGAGTAGGAGGGAAAGGCTGGTAGGGTCCATTTAAAATAGGGTGGTCAGGGAAGGCTCCCTGGAGGAGGTGGTCTTTCCATAGTCATGGGTGGAGGAAGCCAGGGGCTGTCTGGGGACAGATTCTCTCTCCTAGGAGGAGAAATCAGTGAATGCACAGGCTATGAGAAGAGAGCATCCCCAGCCCACGTGAGGGACAGGGAAGAGCCTGGGGTGACAGGATCAGACTTAGCCAGGGGAGGGGGAGTAGTGGGGGGGACGGGGAGTGGCAAAGTCAGAGCCCCGACTGTGCTGCCGGAACCTTGGCTCTCCTGGGGGCAGGGAAATGAGGAAGCCACTGGGGATGTTGAGCCGAGTGGTGACATGACCAGACTGACATTCCAAAATAATTGTTCTGGCTACTGTCTGGAGCAGGGACTGGAGCTCCAGGTCTGGTCCAGTCCCTGACCCTGACCCTGACCCTGACCCTAACCCTGACCCTAACCAGGGACTGGAGCGGGAAGGAACGAGGCGAGAGGCTTTCCCGCCACGCAGGTGGGACAGGAAGGTGGCTGGGACCGGGCGGGGGTAGACAGGAGGAAAGACAGGCGCACACTCGAGATCATTCTTGCAGCCGTGCTGCCCGGACTTGCTGATGGATTGCGCGCTGGGTGCCGCCAGGAGGGAGGAGTGGAGGTTGAGCTGTAGGTTTGTTTCAGGCCTGAGCACCTATGTGAACGAGGGGGCCAGGTCCTGAATGGGGAGCACCCGGGGTGGTCCCGGGTGGCGTGGCATCAAGATTTGGGTGACCGGCATGTGAGGCGTGAGCTGCCGTTCGTGTCCAGATGGAGATGCCAAGGGGGCAGGTGAGCGTACGAGTCTGAAGTTCAGGAGAGAGGCCCGGCGAGACAGAGAAGTTGTCAAGGTGACCAGCCGAAGGATGGTCTTAAGCCCTGAGGCCACCAGGAACTGAGGACAGATATGTAGAAGGGAACGTCCGGGGCGGAGTCCTGAAGCCTGCGACATTTAGACGCTGGCGGAAAGGAGAAGCACCCAACAGGGGACATTGAGAAGGAGCTGTCATCAACACTGGAGGGACTCCATGAACACGTGATGCCTTACCAAACAATGCCAAGGGTTGGCCAAGCAAGACAGACAATGGAACCTGACCACTGGCTTTGAAAACATAGCGGCCATCAGGGACCTGGACATCAGGAGTTCTGGATTCTTGGACCACACTTTGACATGCCACCATCAGCCTCAGTGAGAGACACTCCAAGAATCGATGGTGTCAACTTGCTTAACTTCTTGGAGACACGTTTTTGAGGACTATGCCCCGCTGTACCATCGCTGCCGTGGAAGGAGCGCCTATGGGAGATATTTCTCCCAGGGGACAAAGAAAATAGGCTTCTTTTGAACAACTGGCTAAATTTCCTATCTTTAAACACTGAGATTACTATTCCTTTCTTTGCTTGGACCACCAGTTGCCTAGCAACTGCACAGGGACAGCGTTTTTGTGTGCCAAACTAACTCCTGGCTCCCATCTTATTTTTCATTCTCATTTTCCCTTTACCCTGGTTACCTTCCCTAGTTTATTTTCATCCTCTTCTCGTCTGCACATTTCTCTCTAACGTGTGTGTTTCCGGTGTGTGATTGCTGTAAATTTCCTCGGGACTCTAAGGGGTTAAATAGTGCAACAAATGCCAAATGTTGTGACTGGTACATAGATACCCCTGTGCCTTGATTAAGAACCTGCATGCATCTTGGTGAAGAGGGAAGAGAGCCGGGCATGGAGCCAGGAGATATTTATTCTAGTTCTGAATCTGCCACTAAATAGCTGTGTGACCCGGGCAAATCTATTTCCCTCTCTGAACCTCAGCTACTCTGACTACCACACTCAGGGGCTATAGCAATACTAGCTTGGGATTAGCAAACAGGAGGCATGCATTCACTGACCATCACCTAGCTCCACAGCAGACATCACTAATCAATCAGGCACTCTTTGGCATGGAGTCTAAACAAGACATCAGAATCCTTCTTAACACAGTACCTCAGGCTACAGCTACCAATTGAAAGGAGATGGAATGCTAAATGAAGCCTATTTGCATTATAGCATTAAATAATGTCTCCGTGTGGGACTGATTGTTGTCCATGAGCTAGAACCGTGGTAACATCTGTAGTAGTTGGCATTCCATTGCCCCCAAGATAAAATTCCAAAGCAGAGGGGATGGGAAGCCATTCATCCTAGTAGAAAGGTTCTATAATAATTATAACGTTTCCTGTGTACACCCTAGCATTCGTCATTGCATATATATCATCAAGAGTGACATTCAGACCATACCCTCTACTTAAGCTGAGATTTGGGGACCTCAGGTATGAAGTCTCATTGAATATTCAAGTCTGAATGCTTATTCCAAAGGATAGTGGTTTGTCTTCTATTGGAATAAGCAGACTCATATAATTTCCGCAATCTTTAAAACATTTCATTTTGTTTTTTCTTTCCAAATAGAAAGAATTACATAACCCAATATTTCTGTTTAAATCGCCCTTCATAAATAATTCTGGGGAAAAATCCTTTTCTTATTAGCAAAACTAGGAAACTAGCTTTTAATCGATCGATTGTTAAAAATTCCCCGTCACTGAGTATAATTGAACATATCTGTGTCTATGTCCTTTGCCCAGGATTCAATGAGTCCCGACTCTTTGTCTCACGCAGTACTAAGATCTTTCTAGTTAGTTCCTTCCAGTGTCCCTGTCAGGTAGCTAATTTTACCATTCCCAATTTAACAGTGAGAAAATTGAGGCTCAGAGAGGCGATGAGACTGGACCAAAGTCTATTCTAAAGCCACCTTCAGTGGCATCTCCGATGTGTCAACAGAAAAGAAGCCAAACTGTAAACTAATTTAAAGAGGTTGATTCTGAGCCAAATCTGAGGACCAAGACCTGGAGCCACACCCAAGGAGCCACGAGCAAGTGGACTCGCTGTGGCTGGGTCACAGTTCGATTTCAAACATTTCAGGGAGACAAGGATTACAGGTAAAGTTATAAATCAATACGTGGACGGCATCCATTGGTTTGGCCCCAAAAAGGTGGGACATCTCAAAGTGGGGGTTTGCAACTCATAAATAAAGTTAGGGATTCTTTAGCTGACACTGGCTGGAAGATTAGGCTTTGTCTAAAAGACCAGGAGTCAGTCGAAAGGAGTTAAGGGTCTACCTTTCTGTGTGACACTATACCACGATCAGTTTGGGAAGTAAACCAGTATATATTGGATTAACAAAACCTGTTTAGTGAGAGTTTATCATTTGTAGGTGTGACTCGCCAGGCCCCCTTAGAAAGGAATTTGGGCAAAAGAAAAAGATCAGAGTTGAGTTCTCAGATGTGATAAAATTCTTGTAAGAATTCTGGTTTCCTATTCTTTGAAACCCCATACGAGAAATTGATTGCTTCCACAGTGGTTATGTGACTAAGCTTTTATCTCAGAGGGAGGGTGATATTTTCTTCATTTCCCCATTTCCTCATGTAATTCCCCCTTCAAGCTTCGAGGTGGGCACCGGCACCGCGCCCCTTTTACAGATGAGAAGACAAAGGCTTTGACGGCTCTGCCTTGTCGAAGTTCACAGATCGGAACCTGGGCGTGACTCCAGCCTCTTTCCTCCAAGACACGCTGCCTCTCGGGCTGGACTTCCCTTCTCAGGACCGAGCACAAACAAGCAGACACCACTCCTCTGCAGAATTCGAGATTTCCAAATATAGATCCTTTATTTATTCGGATGCCAGGTTGCTAGGGGTGGGGGGAGGGAGATTTGGCCAGCAGGAAGGATGTGGTGTCAGACGGCTGTTTGCATATGGTGATCTTCCATAGCGGTGACAGGTGGGTTACCAGGCTCTGCAGGCAGGAATGTATTTTGGGATCCACTCTGGGCCGGGCACTGTGGACAACAAACGCTTCCCGCATAAGTCACGACGGAACGAATGAACAATTGCCCTGCTCGTTCCCACTCTGTGCCATCAGAACAAACCCCAACAAATACCTTACACGCTGCATCGTTCCAAAACCCATTTTTTTTTTTTTGGAGTTTTTTTTTTTTTTTGGCATATTATGGGGGTACAGATTTTAAGGTTTCAATAAATGCCCATTTCCCCCCTCCCCCCAAAAGTCTGAGTCTCCATCATGACCATCCCCCAGATGGTGCACATCTCACTCATTATGTATGTATATACCCGCCCCCCCTGAACCCTAAACACACACCGTGCCTGCTCTCCCCCGGAGCCCGGAGGCTGTCACCTCCCCCTAACCCCCATTGCTGCCTTCGGAGCCTCGTGCAGGGATTTGCTGGAGCTGCAGGAACCAGCTGACAACACAATTCTTCCTGTTTCCTGGGAAAGCCTTTATTTTGCTTTGTTCTGCACTTGAAAGTGAGCATGCACAAGACTGTCAAATGCTCTGCTCCTCTTGGCTGTGCTGTCTGGGACAGGGACGTTAAATAGAAAGACCCCCTCCCCTGCTACTTGGGGGGCTGGGGAAGGAAGCCCCATCCCAGCGCATGCCCCTGGATGCCTTACTGGTACGTGCTGGACCTCTGGTTCAACTACCTTTAAAATCAAGGAGGCTGGCTGAGATAGATGCTCATGGGGTCTTGTCTAGGTAAAACACACACACACACACACACACACACACACACACACACGCACACACACACGTTTGGGAGTTAAGTGGATAAACAGCGTCGTGCACAGAGCAGAAGCCGCATGCATCTTTGCTGGTCTGATTTCAAAAACAACCGATCCCTGATCCTTCCCTGAGTGGCCGCTTTGAGAGAGAGGGAGGAGAGAGGGCATCGGTCCCCGACTTTGAGGTCGAGGAGGGGAGGGCTGATCCGAAGGGGTGGAAGAAAGACTCAAAGATAATGAGAAATTGCATCAACTTTCCCCAGGCTGTTTCTGGTTCTGGAAGCGAGCAAAAATAAAGCAGGAGGGGGAAAAATAACTAGGCATTTATTTTGGAGATGTATCGGAAGCACAAGTGTCAACTGGCTGGAAGGCCGCCTTCCCCCGCCGGCTGAGGGTGTGGGCGACAGCCCGCACATCCAAATGAGGGAGCGATTAGACCGGGCTTGCTCTGAAGATGGATTTCCCGGCTGGGGGAGCGGGCTGGGGGCTGGGCTGCTGTAGAGGGGACCGCAACATTAGGCTTTGGCAAGTTAATTAGGGTTCAGGAGTCCAGCGCGAGCAGGGAGAGAGGCTGGATTTGCATAAAGCCCATTTACATAATGTTCTTCACAAATTGTGCAGCCAGAAGGCAGGGAAGGGGGTGGGGAGGGGAGGGGTGGGGAGGGGGAGGCGGTTAGACACCCGCCAGAGGAGGCAGCAGCAGCAGCCAAAGCGGGGGGGTGGGTGAGCAGCCCATGTCCCCACTCTGTCTCTGCCATTGTCAACGCCCCGTCTCAGGTCCCCACCTGCTTTGAGGCCCCGGCCCCACACCCCCCTGCACCATCCCGCCTCCCCAGAGCAGCCAGACTTCTAAACTGCCTGTGTGGTCACAGGGCTCCTTTGCTTAAACTTTCTGTGTCTGCCTCTGGATCCGGTCCCAGCTCCTGAGCTGGCCTTGTGGAGGTCTGGCCCCCTTGGCCCTCCTGACCAGCTTCCCTCCCACCTAAGCTCAGTGGGTCCCAGGACTCACTTGGCTTTCACAGGCCTCCCTGCCTCCCCGCTGCCCTCACCTGCCCCAGAATGTCCACCCCACAAGTGCCAGCCTCTTTGTGGCAGCCCCCTGTCCCACTGCACCGAGTACCCTGCTCTCGTGGCATTTCCTGAAGTCCCCTTTTGTGTGGCCTGGGAGCCTTCGTGCACCTGCATTTCAGAGCTCGTCGTGGCTGCTGCGTGGCCACTGCTTGGGGGAGGGTCTCTGTCCCCATCACACTGGCACTCCTCCAGGGAGGGGTTTGCTGGACACATCTGTACATCCAGCTGGGGCAGGGGCTTGCAAACAATAGGTGCCCAATACATGCTGATGGGAGGAATGAAACATGTCATGTCAGCCAGAGATTGAGATTAGGTTCAGACTCCCTGAAATGAACCAGACCAGCCCTCTAATGTCTCTGGGGTTCTGCTTCCACTTTGGTCTCTGTCACCATCCCCGGCCAGTCCTGTGTCGGGAGCCGCGGAGGACGAGGAGAGGCGTCCAGGAGGGTGGGGGTCTCTGAGCTGAACCCTCCACTGAGGGTAGGATGCTGAGGCAGACGAAAGGGGAAGGGGCGTCCCAGGCCGGGCAAGTAGCACGTGCAGGGGCGGGGGTTGGAAAGTGCACGGAGCACGTGGGACAGGACAAGGGGATCGAGTGGGCTAAAGCCAGAGAGAGACCAAAGATGGAAAATATGGTGGATCTCCAATTCTGAGCCGAAGAGGCTGAAATACATCTGCTGGGTTTCTGGAAGTCCCTGAAGGTTTGTGATCAAGGAGAAGGGGAAAAAGTCGCACCCGCCGCGCACCTGCCGCGTGCTGCCGAACAGGTGGTTCAAGTCAGTGGCCGAGCACGCGGTGGTCGTCCCCCTGTGACCACCGGTTTGGAGGACGAGCCTGCTGGGGTCACTTGCCTGAGGTCCCCCAGCTGGGGCGTGGGGAAGCAGCGCTTGGACCCTGGCTTCCAAATCCCGAGCTGCCTTCTGGACTCGATTGATTTATGTTTTAGAGAAATATGCAAAAGGAAGGGAAATGAGAGAAAGAGAGAGAGAGAGAAGAGGAAAAGGGAAAACAGAGGGGAGAAGGCTGGCCAGGCGAGGAGCAGACCGAGAGATCCCAGTGACCCGGGAAGGCAGCAGGGATGCACCTGCTCTCCGTCCGGAGAACTTTCTGGGGGGAATGTTCTAGATCTGCCTCCAGCACAGTAGGCTCTAGCCTCATGTAGCTACTGAGCACTTGAAATGTGGCTAGTGCAACGGAAGAAATGAAGTTTAACTGCATTTAGACTCAAACTGGAATAGTCACAGGGGAGTGGCTACGGTATCAGACAGTGCAGCTTTGAGAACAGTCCTTCTTTTTTTTCCAACGAAGTCCTAGCTTAGATTTTCCCTGGGTCCTTCTTGGCCTCCCAGATTGCGCCTCTGGCCTGAACAAGGTGTCCCTGGTGTTTCTCTCCCTCATGTTCCTGGACATCCCGCCCACACTGAGGTTTAATTTTAGCTGATTTTCTCTCTCAAGGACAAAGTCTGTATTTTTATTTTAATTTATGTCACCTGAACCACTTCCAAGTTTTACTTTTAGAACCTGTCAATATTAGTGACATGTGGCATTTTAGGTACTTTTCTGCTGGTGGGGCCTAAATTTATTGTCATTTTATGTCACTCGGCAAAATGCACAAAATGCCAGAAGTGTTATAAACAGAGACGATTTATGTTCAGGTTGGGCTAAGGTTAAGAGAATGAATATAATCAATTTTTTTTTTTCAGAGACTTTTATGCGAGTGTGCAGGCCGGCAGGTGCGCATTTGACGCTCGGTGGGAAGTATTTTCCAAGCAACGGGAGACAGCAGACGCAGACGGGGCCCAATTACCGCTGCTCATGACTGATCACGCCACGCGCGCGTGTGCCCGAGCCTGGGCCCCGGACTCGGGCACCCAGCAGGGGCTGTGCACACGCCAGCCACTCCGTCAAGGCTGGCGGAAGGAAGGACGGAGAGAGCAAAAGAGACAGAAACGGGAATTCTAAAGATTCTGCAGTGCCACCCCCAGCAGAGCCATCTCTCTGGACCCGTCAATCTACTGCTCAAAGACTTTCAATGGCTCCCTAGTACCTTTGCGTCCTGTCTTACAGGGTCCCGCAAGATCTGCACGTGAGGCCGTGTCTGAGGGATTGCAATGCTCAGAAAGTTTCGTAGCCTTGCCCTTGCCCTCACTCGCGCTCTTCCCAATCCAGGACTGCTCCATCCTTTCTCTTCTTGGACCTTCTTCAGCGGCCAGCTCAAACTCCTCTGTTCCTTGCAACCACTAGTTCCCGCTGCCCCCTAAGAGAGTATTGTTCCCTCTTTGGGGTATCTCTTGTACCTTATATACAGACATCCCTTGGCATCCATGGGGGATTGGTCCCCGGAACCCCTGTGGATACCAAAATAACGGATGCTCAAGTCCCTGATACAAAATGTCTCAGTATTTGCTTGTAACCTGCGCAATCCTCCGTACATTTCAAATCACCTCTAGGTTACTTACCATGCCCAATACAATGTAGATGCTGTGTAAATAGTTGTTATACTCTATCGTTTAGGGAATAAGGACAGGAAAAAAAAAAAAGTCTGTGCATGTTCAGTACAGATGTAACTCATTTATGTTTTCCAGGAATATTTTTGATCTGCGGTTGGTTGTATCAACGGAGGCAGAACCCATGGAGGGGAGGGCCGAGCATGCGCCTTTCTTGTGGGATACCTCGTGCTGTTTTGTTTGCTCCCCTGTTGCCATTAAAAGATCACGGTGCCCCCTGACAGCATGGTCTAGGGCGTTTCATTCCTCTTTACCCTGGGCCTGGGCAGAGAAGCTGACAAGTGAAATATGATCGAATGATAAAGCACGTGGGTGCAAATCCGGTGGGTTTGGACCCCTGTCCCCACTTCCGGCTAAGGATATAGCCGTGCTGGATCTGCTAAGCCCATTACTGCTGCCTGCTCACTCTCCAATTTCCAAACCTTGCCACTGTTCTCTGTTCTTCCACTTTCCTTGTCCTTGCAAGTTTATGTCTTTTAAACAAATTCCTTTATTATAAATTTATTGGGTTTTATGGAGGGAAATATATTAGAGGGGTGTGTTCAATCCGCCATCTTCACTGGCAGTCAGTGACAAATGAAAGGAAAGCTCTGTTAGCCTTTGGGCAAATCACTTCTCTTACTTTGGTCTCGAATTCCTTACCTTTGAAACGAGGGAGTTGGGCTGGATGAGTTCAAGGGTCCAACCAAAGTCCGAGAGGAGGTCAAGGTCAGATCAGATGTGCTTGATGGGCCATGGGTAGGGGTTTGGATTTTACAGGACAGCGGTCACTCTCTGGGATTTTTGCTACCACCAATAATCCACTTGCATGGCCGAGTCTCTGTTCACACATCTGTGTCCTGCCTCCCAAACTCTGAGGTTGCTAGTAGGTTCTGAGTTTCTTCCTCGTACAACCCATGGTGACAACAACCGACTTAGCCTGTGCAGGTAGCCTGCAACAAGTGCCGTGATGGGGCGGCTTATAAACAACAGGTATTGACTTCTTACAGCTCTGGAGGCTGAAGTCCAAGATCAGGGTGCCGGCATGGGCAGTTCTAGTGAGGGTCCCGTGCAGGGTGCAGACTGCTGACTTCCGGCTGCATCCTCGCACCCTGCACGGAGTGCCACCCTCATGACCCGATCACCTCCCGAAGGTCCCACCTTCTAACACCATCACATTGGGTGTTGGGAGTTCAGCATATGCATTTTGAGGCGACACAGATACTCAGTCCATGGTGGTAGCTGACAGCTGTCTGGGTCTGTAGTTTCCTCACACCCCTCACTTTGACCCAGCAGAACTCTGGTGCCAACCAGGGGCGGTGACATCTGGAATCTCACTTTGCATAGGAAAAACCCAAGGCTTAGAGAAGGGAAGAGACTTGCTCTGACGGACCCTCAGCCCTGGGTGTGTCCCTATCCTGTCCACGCTGGAGGCTCAGCCCACATTTGTTTGGAGCGCGAGGTGATCAACACTTGAGTTGAGTCGGTCAGGATCATGGTTGTAGCCACAGGGCAAGAAACATCATTTAAAAAATTAATTACTGGGTGTCACATCTTCACGTCTCACCCACATTGCAGCATGTATCAGTACTTCATTCTTTTTTATGGCCGAATAATCTTCCACCGTGTGGATGTACCACATTTTGCTTATCCACTCATCCACGGATGGGTGTTTGGGCGGCTCTCACCTTTTGGCTACTGCGAATAGTGCTGCTATGAAAATTCAGGTACAGGTACTTGTCTGATGCTAAGTGAAAGAAGCCAGACATGCAAAGTCACTTAGCGTATGATTCTATTTACACGAAATACCCAGAATAGGTAAATCCATAGAGCCAGAAAGTAGATTTGTGGTTGCCGGGGGCTGGGGAGAAGAGAAAAGGGAAATGGCTAGCCTAACTGGGCACGAGGTGTCTTTTTGGAGCCATGAAACTGTTTTGGAACTAGGTAGAAGAAATGGTTGCACAGCGTTGTGAATGTACTAATGCTACTGAATTGGCTGCCTCTAAGTGGTTAGTTGGATGTAATGCAAATTTCTCCTTAATAAGACAATTAAATACTGAAGACTTCTCTTGAGTAACATTCCACAACGCCTACTGTGTGTCTGGCAGGTGTTTGATTCCCCATTTGAAACCGTGTTGCACGTACTTGTGAAACATTTGTGCTATAAATTCTCAAGTGGTCAGGTTGCCCGCTTCTGGCTTCAGTCTCCATCCTGCAAGGACACGGACCCCCAGGCCAGCGCCTCCGTGTCCCCAGGAGGTGGTTGGAACGCTGAGCCCTGGCCCCACTCCCAGACCTAGTGGATCTGTGCTGTATGACACGTGTTTGCCACGGGAGCCATCACTGGAGAGAAGTGGCGAGAGAGGGGTTGAGGCGAAGTCCCCATGGAGCCCCTCCTCGCTGAATCAGATGTGCGGCTCTCTCTCCGCCCCTCCCCTGTTCTTCAGGCCACTCTCTTTCTGTCTCTCTCTCCCACCCTGTCTTCTCTCCCAGACTTCCCCCGCGGCCGAGTCCCTACCCTTCTGCACTCTCCAAATTGATTTTTATCACTCATCTTGGCAGGTTAGTAATCACCATTCTCAGCAGAAGTTCCTTCCATTTCATTACACTGGGGGAGACACACTGGGCGGCGGGGGTGGGGTGGGGGCTGGGTTTCCTTGTACTCCTACCTCTGGGTCAGGTGGGAAAGGAGGAATCTCCACACCAGGCACCCCAGGGGAAGAAGGCCAGTGCCACGGAGGGGAAGGAGCTGCCCTTTGGCGGCTCTTTCCAGCTCCAGGGTCCTGTGGCACAGCCTACCCCAGCTCCAAGGGCCCGTTGCCTTTCTCTGTCTCCAATAACCACTCACATTTGGGGGGCTTGCCATGGTTTCCAGAGTTCACTTCCATGCATTGCTCCATTAAATCCTCACAACACTTCCGAGAGGTCGGGATTGCCACCTCTATCTTACAGGTGAAGAAAGTGAGGCTTAGAGCTATGAAGCCACTTGCAAGACACCTGGGAATGAGGGCGGGTCTCCCGGCTCTGAAGTTTGTCCTGGACTGTACCAGAGCCAGTTAATGCAGGGACCTTCCATCCCTCCACTTGCCCTGGTGGGGGCCTAGCAGGAAGAGCCGGGCATTTGCGTCTGATGGACTTGGGGACGGATCCCAGCTCTGCCACTTACCGGAGCTCTGGGCAAATTGCTCCATGCCCCCGGACCTCCCTCTCCTTAGCTGTCCGCGTGCGAGGGAGGCTGGACAGAGCTGGGAGAGCGCAGATCTCAGAACGGGAACTCTGTAAGGCAAACCAGCCCCTGCACGCCCCCCCCCCCCGGCTGTGGGACCGGGCGCGGCCACATCACCTCTCTGAGCCTCCATTTCCCCATCCCCAAACCTCCTACTCTGGATCGCTGCAAGAACTTCATGAGCTAGCTCCCATGCAGGTGCTCATTAAACACCTTTGATTAAAAAAATGTCATTCCATTGGATCATGGAATCTAAGAGAGTCTCACAAGATGTACCCAGAATTCAGAGATGCTAAAATCTAAAAAAAGAAGAAAAAAGTGTGCTCAGAATCAAGAACGCCCTCCAGTGTATGGTGCCTGCTCTGTGTGAGGTGTAATGGGGGGCATTGTATAGACATCTTCCTGTTGAATCCTGACAATCGTCCTAAAAGGTGGGGTTTAGTCTCCCCATTACACAGGTGAGAAAACTGAGGCTGCAGGGGTGAAGTCATTTCCTCTAAGTTGTATAGTTTGCCAGAGGTGAAGCTGGGAGCAGCTCAGGTTGGTCTGCTAAAAAACTCAAAGTGCAGATGAAAAAACAAAAGCATACATGAATATGTTTTGCAAACCACACAGTTTCAGTCACGTGTGTAGGGGAAGATGGGGGAGACCGAGATAATAACCATGTCTGTAAGCATTCGCTGCCTACCATGTGGCAGACACTGGGCTGAGGGATTCACACGGGTTGCCTCACAGAACCCCTGCAACGACTTTGTTATAATCCCCACCTCGCAGATAAGCAAACAGGTTCAGAGTGGTCAAGTGAGTTACCCGAGGTCACACAGCCAAGAAGTGGTGAAGCTAGCCCTCCACCCCAGTCTCACAGGCTGCAGAGTGGAGTCCTTAACCCAGAAATTGCAAGTTGCTAATCTCGGGTGGTTAACTGGGGGGTGTACCCTCTCAGCCCTCGGGGGCCTCCCTCTCTCCCCTTGCCCCACCCCAGGGTTCGAGCTGGGCGTGGACCAGGTGTCTCCCACACGCACATCTCTGTGACCCGCCTGCCTTTAGTCCTCCTCCCGGCCTGTCGCTGGAGCCGGATCGGGGCCCGGGGTGGGGCGGTGGGCCTGCAGAGAAACAGCGTGCGGTATGCAGATCACCCCATTAAAATTTCATGTGGATTCAAAAATTCCGTGTTGACTCCGGTGACGCAAATAGGTATGAAAATTCTGAGGAAGGCACACTCATTGTTACTGAAATCAAATGGTTGAACGGCCACTAATGAGGCAGACAAGGAGGCTTGCTCACCCTCTGAGGACTGAGGGGAGACGAGCAGAGCGATTGCACTACATTATTCATTCGCTCTTGTTTGAGTTTCAGATCTCAAGGAGGCTCTGGGAAGGGAGGCAGGGAGGGCGAGGCGGCAGGCGGCGGGGGTGGCAGGGAGTCGGGCCGCTCCGCCAGCTGCGGAAGGAGGACCGGGTGACTAATTGACAACTGCTCGCTGATCCCTTCCCCGGGGCACCCATCTCTCCAGTCTCTCCTTCTGAGCTCCCGAGACCCACAGGCACCTCTCCAGCACCTGCCACGGTGCCTGCATTGTCCCCAGTGGCGTGACACGGGAAGGCAGACTGACTCGGCCTCAGTCCCGGCTCTGTGTGACTTGGGGCAAGTGGATAAACCTCCCTGGGCCTTGATTTCCTCCCTCGTCCGACAGGGAGGCGGAAACGAACGGCTCCTCTGTCTATTCATACTTTGCGGGGAGCAGCATTTCTGAGAGTCAAATGCCAGCGTGCGGCGCTTCTCAGATTCCGATGCTCCCGCCAGTCGCCTGGGCATCTTGTCGGAATGCCCCATGCGATTCAGTAAGTTCAGGGTGGGGCCTGGGGC